TTCATTAAGAGATCAAAGACATGTCAAATATGTCTTGAGGGAAGAAAAAAGGGATAAACAGAGTTGTAACATATAATGTTTATCAATAAAACCCTTTTTTCTTTATAGTTGTTTGTGATTGCAGTTTTATTTTTCTCTGCATAAATTTATTTGCAAACAAGTATATGGTATAAGATTATCAAAAAATTCCTTTTCCGACAATGGTTGTTGGAATCCTTATTTATAATAGCACCTAGGGAACAAGGTTCTAGAATCAAGCCTCTCTTAAATGATAATTATGGGGCAATTAAAAAAATGTTAATGACTAGCTATTAATGTCATATTCTCTATAACAGACTATGTATTTAATACTGCAGCATATTCTTCATTGAATGCTATCGGGTGACAGGTATTCATTTGTCTTCATGAGTAACATTCCCTTCGGGAGCTTCCTGGTGCCACTCGAGACTGCTGCACCTGGTCTTGACTTCTACCTGTCTCGTTTTCCATCTATTTCTGGTAACACGTGTCACTTTATTATACGAGCATTTAATATGAACCGATTTTACCCTATACAGATAGTCCTCCTGCTTTTCGGTGGCACATTCTTGTGCTATCGTGGTAAAGATACCTTTCTCAGTGGAAAATTTACTAACTCTATCTGAAAAGTTTCTAACGCTTGATTAGACAGATGTCTCTCTACATTAATGCCCTGAACACGCGTCATCCCACGATTCAACAATACTTTCTTCGGTTCTCGAGGTAACCATGACCACGATTTTAGCTGCATATTCCTTTACTTATACTCATTAGTTTCTTTTTTTACACTTCATAATTTCCCAAACTCTCTTAAAATTTCTTTACTCAACTCACTCTTATTGTTAACCTCCTTCTTCAGAGAAGCCCTTACTTTCTTTTGGTAACTATGGCCTCCTCCTCTAGAAACTCTAGTTCTTCAAAGAACAAGGAAAGCACTGATGATGTTTCTCTTCCTACGGTGAGAACCATTATCCCCAAAAGCTTATTACGACTAAGGACTTCGAAGAGAAGTTCCCTTCTGCTAACTCCCGCACATGGGTTGTTGGTGTGTACCCTTCTTCCATCTGTCCTTCTAGCATCCCTATTGTGAAGGAAGACTGTTGTTGCCATGACTTGAACATCATCGCTCCTGACCTAGCCGAGCGGGTAACCTTCTCCAAGAAGGGTTTTACGTACATTTACATGTACCGTTTTACTTTGGGCCCATTTTCAATGAGTAGGGGACTTGACTCCGTAATCTTAGAGTTCTACCTCCGCTATCAAGTCTGCTTGGCTCAGGTGAGCCCTTTTGTATGGTGGATGGTAGCTTGTCTTCGGCGGTTATGCCAGGAGACGGGGGAGGAACTCTCCCTAGCTCGATTGATGAACCTTTATTCCCTTAAGATTTCCCGTGGGGGAATGATAAATTTCAGCAAATGTGGTCATTATGCTTTGCTCACTAGCATGGATGACGACAACGACCGTGGCTGGATGGAGCGGTTCGTTATAGTTCCACCAGGGATATCATCCCGGCCAAAACTCCATCCTTTAATGAATTATGAAATCATACACGTAAGTTCAACATCTATCCTTTCTTCTGGTTAAAGGTTATTTCATGTTGTCGCCGATCCTTCTTTTTCCATTATTTCAGCAACTCGGTGGACACCACTAAGGGTTGAAGGCTTGGACCAGTGGGTCAAGAAAATTTTGGATGTTAATATGCCTGAGACCTGCCGATGGAAAGAACTAGCCTTTAAATACGGGTGGAAGGCCAAAAATCATGGTAAGTTGATTCTCGGACTTATCTTGTTTTTATCTCACATGTAAGAGAACCGGCTAACTTTTCCCTTTGCTGAATTCAGGTCTTCCGCATTGCTCTATTACCGTTACCGATGAGGACGTTTCAGCTTACTCCGCAGATGCGGTGAGGTTGTTGCAGGAGGCCTTCACTCGAAGGGTATTGTCGGACATGCTACCGGTATAGGTGCTTCCTCTCGGAGTCCCCAACCGGAGAACAAATAACAAAAAAGGCGACGTTCCTCTATGGGCAATGGTAAAAATAAAAAGGTGAAGAGCGTCGTGTCTGAGCCTGCTACACCCACTGTGGTGATCAATGATGATGGGGAAGCTAGTGATTAAGGGGCTTCTCTACATAGAAGATGACTACCTTCATCAGCTTAACAGAACGCTTAAACTGTTTAGCTAATAATACCAACCGATGACGACGCCCAAGCGCTCTGGGGAGTTTGATATAGTGGAGGATGCCAATTCTCGTGTCCGAGCCCCAGTCGCTGCTTCCGGTACTGCAAGGCTGAGTACCTGGCCTCTTCCTTCTTTGGTTGTTGAGCAACCAATAACTAGCACTGCTTTTGCCGCAGCTGCTTCTTAACCTACAATGCCATCAACTTCTTCTCCTTCTTCGCAAACCTTGCCATCGCCACCAGCAACTGCTACATCATCTCCACCGGCCGCAGGCGTTCGAGGGAAGGATGCCCCTCCCCCCAGTCCCCAGTTCATGGAATTTGGGGCATAACTATTGGTCCCCCTCTACATATCCTCAGAGGAGGAGGAGTGTCTCCCTCCCAGTTTCTACCGGATGCCATCTGTTGTCCCGACCAGTGGAACCTAACAATTATCTGAAGCCTTTGGCTTCAGGAAAAGATAGGAATAAAATACATTCTCTCTTGAGGGAATGTATGTAAACAATGTTATGCACAACACAACAGCAGTAAGATATATGTTCCCTTTGTTGTTCCTTGTATCTTTTCTATGACAAGATTTTTAATTTGAACGTTGCTTTGCAGGCTAGATTCCTTGCTTTCGAGGGCCTTCAGAGGTTGATTCTTGATAAAGAAAAATTCACATTCGAGTGGGATCAACTGTTGGCCGAGCGGGACCAAATTTCTCCCCGCCTCCCTACACTAGAAGCACAAGTTGCTGAGGACGTTGAGTTGGAGGCTCGATTGCAGCAAAGCGAGCAAGAGGTGGTGACCCTCAGCCAAGAGGCCGCCCTGTTAAGGGTATAATTTGATGAGGCCAAGGCAAAGTGGGTCTAGGTCCAAAATGTTGTTCTTGCTACTACCGATTGTGTGGCAGCCTCCCCTGAAAGAATAAATAATTTAGGGGAAGCCTTGAACTCCAAAGTTGGAGAGGCTGCGGAGGAGGAGGAGAAGCATGCTCAGATGGAGGAGAAGTATAAGAAGGTCATAGAGTATAATAAAGTTTATAATTTCACTATCTGTGACCTTAATGTTAGCCTTCATGCCGCTAGATCCGAATGGAATAATCTTTCGACCGAAGTTGACCAGCTTAAGGAAGAGTTTCGACGTCGAGCGGCTTCTCTCATTGTTGAAAAAATATATTTTATGTACAGCATGAGGGGGAAAACCTTGAAAGAGGCCAAAGAGGGTATCATTGACTTTGATGCCAAGATCGCCAAGGTCCGTGAGCTGGAGTCAACTGCCCGAAGGGGTCTCCCGGTCCAACCTGATGCGATTGATTCCTCTGGTTCCGGTTTTGAGTTTTCGAGATTTGAAGAAAAACCTGAAGAGGATGATGGTGAAGGCCAAGACCTTGAGCCGGCGGCAGATCAACCTACTTCTCTTGGGGGTGCAGATGCTTCTCTTCCCCCAGATTCATGGGATGCGGTAGCTTAGCTTTTTGCTTTCTTTTTTACTTTGCTTTTCTTTTCCATATTTTTGTACTTGTGCTGCTTGGCATGTTTGTTGTATATAAAAGTGCTTTTTCGTTTAAGTATTGTGCAAATTTTACTTTTTTGCATCGGGTTATGCAAGGCTTCGGGTGTATTTTTCCCCGATGATATTTGGATTTCAGGCTTAGGTTCTTTCGAAATCAACCCTTTACTGTAAGGATTTCATAAGAGAGGGTCCTCTTATGTTTATGGTGCTCTTGAAGAGGACGTCTCCTGTTCATTACTGCACTAGCATTTGAAGTACTTGATTAATTTTCCAATGATAAAATTAATTCATCGTTCGGACAAGAAACAAGATAAAAATAAAATGACTTTATTTTATTCCTTCCATTTTCAAAAGTACATAAGCATTCGTGGTGCTTAAAAGGAAATTGCCATTACTTGTGGCTAATTTGTATATCTTGTTTCTACGGGCTGGTCGGACAGTCCCCAGTCCCGATAATACAACTTTGTTCCTGAATTTTGTAGTCCCGGTTGATGTGGCAGTCATGTTGTCATATTCTCATATCATTCCCCCTAGTGTATGAATGCAAAGAATGCGAATTTGAATACTGGAAGTCTTGCTCTTTTGAAGATTCCACTAATTAATGGTTGGATAATCTTTGGTTCGACAGCAAGATTCACTTCCTATTAGGAACTTTGCTATATAGCCAAAGACTATCTATCCACCCCCAGTGGCTTGCACTCGTGAACGGTTAGGTAACCTTTGGCCCGATAGCAGACTTTACTTCCTGGTAGGAACTTTGCTACCAAGCAAAAGATTATCTAACTGTCCCGTAGCAGTCCTCCGCTTACATGCCTTGTTGTTTAAAGGTCTTATTTTTGTCGACGATGTTTCCTTTGTCGTATGCTTTTTCTCATTAAAAACATTGATAGAAAAACCTTATTGGGACAAAAACTGGACGAAGGAAAAAAGAGTGCAGCACATACTTTCAGTATAGGAGATGCTCATCAACGATAATATCTTTTGAGGTGTGCCACATTCCAGTTGCTCGACAACTTTACTCCGTCTTGATTTCCAATTCGTATGATCCTTTCATGGTGACATCCAAAACTCAGTAGGGGCCTTCCCACGCTGGACCTAGCTTTCCTGCGTTAAGCTCCCGGGTGTTTTGAGCCACTTTCCCTAAAATCAACTCTCCTACTTTGAAATAACGGAGGTTGGCTCTTTATTGTAATATCTTTCCATTTTCTATTTTTGGGCTGCCATCCTTATATGCGCCAAGTCCCTGTGTTTGCCGAGCAGCTCCAATTTGACCAAAAATGCTTCATTGTTTGTTTCTTCATTTGCTCAGAAGTATCTCAGGGTAGGTTCTCTTACTTCCACCAGGATCAAGGATTCTGCTCCATATACGAGAGAGAAAGGAGTCTTCCCCATGCTTGATTTAGCCGTTGTTCGATATGCCCATAGTACTCCTGGCAACTCTTCGGGCCATTTGCCTTTGGCTGCTTCCAATCTCTTTTTGAGATTTTGGATAATTACCTTGCTTGTTGATTCTGCTTGACCGTTTGCGCTCGCGTGATAAAGTGATGATGTAATTCTTTTAATTCTTAGGTCTTCAAGGAATTTTGTGACCTTTACGCCAATAAATTGTGGCCCGTTGTCACAGGCTATCTCTTTTAGTATCCCGAACCTGCAACTTATGTTCTCCCACAGGAAATCTACCACTTCACGCTCGCCAGTTTTCTGGTAAGGACCTGCTTCAACCCACTACAAAAGCAGTAAGTTAAAATTAAGAGAAATCTTACCTTATCGGGGGCCGGCGGCAGCGAACCGACTATGTCCATTCCCCACTTCATGAATGGCCAAGGTGATAAAACCGAGTATCATAACTCTGCCGGTTGGTGTACCAACGGTGCATGGCGTTGACACTTGTCGCATTTCTGAACATAACCTTAGCGTCATGTTCCATCCAGGGCCAGTAATATCCTGCCCTAATCAGCTTTAATACCTAGGAATCCGCGCCCGAATGATTTCCGCATATCCCTCCGTGAACTTCTCTCATGATGTAATTAGCTTCGTAGGCTCTCAAGCATTAGGCCAACGGGCCTTGAAAGGATTTTCTATATAATTGACCTCCCCTAAAGCAGTATCGGGTTGCTTTAGTGCGCAACGCCCGGGATGCCTTGGACTCTTCGGGTAAATATCCATGCTCGAGATAGTCAATGATATCATTCCTCCAGTCCCAACCCAAATTGGTCGCGTTCACTTAGTAATAGCCATCCGCGTCTAATAACGAATGCATAAGCTGCACGATCGTACTAGAGTCCGATCGCTTTATTTGCATGGACGATCCCATATTGGCTAGTGCATCTGCTTCCCCGTTTTCTTCCCTCGGGATGTGGGTAATTGACCATTCCCTGAACCGTGCGAGCAGATCTTGGACTTTCACTACATATTGTTTCATGAATTCCTCTTTGGCTTTTAAGATCCCGTAGACCTGATTTACTACCAATTGGGAATCACATTTGATTTCTATGACCTTGGAGTCCAATCCCCTAGCCAACTCGAGTCTTGAAATCAAATCTTCATACTCGGCTTCATTGTTAGTCAGAGGATAGTTCTTATGGCCTGCCTTAGGGTTTCTCCCGAAGGTGTGATTAGCACTACGCCGAGCCCAAACCCTTTCACATTGGAAGCTTCGTCCGTGAACAAGGTCCAAACTCCTGACGTCGGATCCGATACCATCACTGCTTCTTTGGTAGCCAAAGGTAGCAGTCCCGGACTGAAATCAGCCACAAAGTCGGCCAAAACTTGTGACTTAACCGCAGTTCTAGGTTTGTATTCTATGTCAAATTAACTCATTTTGACTGCCCACTTGGACAGTCGACCTAAAAGTTCAGGTCTAGAAGGATATTCTATAGGAGCAAGGTTGTCACCACGGTTATCAGATGACATTAAAAATAAGGCCTAAGCTTCCGAGCAGCGACCATGAGAGTTAAGGCCAATTTTTCCAGATGTGGGTAGCGACTTTCCTCTCCTGTTAAATTTTTACTAACATAATAAATAGGAGATTGCGTACCTTCATCTTCACTGACTAAAACGACATTTACCACTACCTCCGAGACCGCTAAGTAAATCAGGAGATGCCGCCTTCTTCTGGTTTCGATAATAATGGAGGGCTTGACAAATACCTTCTTAAATCTTTCAGAGCCTGTTGACATTACGGAGTCTATTCGAGGTTGTTCTTCTTTTGAGAAGTGAAAAGAAGTGATGAAATTTTTCCGACGATCGGGAAATGAATCTGCTTAAAGCGGCCAGTCTTCCTGTCAAGCTTTGAACCTCTTTAACTTTTGATAGCTGGTCATGAATGTCTTCGATGGCTTTAATCTTATTAGGATTGACTTCGATCCCCCTTTGCGACACAAAGAACCCTAAGAACTTACCGGAGATGACTCCGAATGCATACTTTTCGGGGTTGAGCTTCATGTTGTGTTTCCTTAGGATGTCAAAGGTTTCTTGCAAGTGTTTAAGATGATCAGCTACGTTCAAAGACTTAACCAACATATCATCTATGTAATCATCCATGGTTTTCCCTATTTGTTTTTCAAACATTTTGTTCACAAGCCTCTGATAAGCGGCTCCGGCGTTCTTTAGCCCGAAAGGCATCACATTATAGCAATATGTGCCAAAGTTCGTTATGAATGAAGTTTTTTCCTAATCCTTCGGGTTCATCTTGATTTGATTGTACGTGGAGTAAGCATCAAGGGAACTCATTAACTCGTTCCCGGCCATTGCATCAATCATTTGATGAATGTTTGGCAATGAGAATGAGTCTTTGGGCATGCCTTATTTAGATCCTTATAGTCTATGCACATGCGAAATATTATTCTTCTTCTTTAGAACTACCACTATGTTAGCAAGACAGACATGTTACTTTACCTCTCGGATTGAACCGATATCAAGAAAACGAGTTACCTCTTCTTTGACGAATTTGTTTCTGTTCTCGGCAATAGGGTGTTTTTTCTGCCTCACCGGAGGGATGTTAGGATCCAGGCTTAGTTTATGCACGGTCACTTCTTGCGGGATACCTGTCTTATCCTCATGTGACCACACAAAACCGTCAAAATTAAATTTAAGAAATTCAATAAATCTTGACCTGAGCTCCGGATTTAATCCTGTCCCCGAGTGGAATTTCCTCTACAAGAACTTTTCGAACAATGCAACTTGCTCGAGTTCCTCCGTTGTGGACTTTGTTGTATCCATTTCTTCTGGTACCTGGAAATATCTTGGTACTTGAAAAGATTCCGACGACCCCTCCCCTTGGTTGACTTTGTTCGGTTCAGGAGCAGGCGTCAGTTTCTGTAATTGCAACGATGCATGCTCCTTCCCTTTACTACTGGAATCTGAGTTGCGTTCATCTCTCTTGCTGCCAGTTGGTCACCCCTTAAATATTTAATTCCCTCCGGCATTGGGAATTTCAGAAGTTGATGGTATATTAACGGTACAACCTTCATCTCGTGCAGCCATGGTCTCCAAGAATGATATTATAACCCACATCACCATCTACTACTTCAAAAAGTGTCGTCTTCATTATCCCTTCGGCATTCGTGGGTGGCAGGATTTCCTCTCGGGTTGTTACACTTGCTAAATTGAACCCGACGAGGAGCTTTGTGACCGGAATTATGCTTCCGGTTAGTTTGACTTGTTGTAACACTCTCCATTAGATAATGTTGGTTGAACTCCCTAGGTCCACCAAAACACGTTTAATATTCTAAAACATTAAGAGAGATTACCAGGGCATCATTGTGCGGAAGTAGGAATCCATCCGCGTCCTCCTCCGTGAAGGTGATGTCGTCCTTGTTACACCCCGCAATATTACGACAATGTTACGTCCTGCAGTATTATATTACGATGATGTTATGCCTTGCAGTATTACTGTACGATGATGTTACGCTTCGCAGTAATAAGTTACGACAATGTTGCACCCTGCAATATTACATTACGGTAATGTTAGCTTCGCAGTATTAAGTTACGACAATTTTGCACCCTGTAGTATTGTACGTTGAATTTGTCGTAAGGTAATTGACATCAGTCCAAGTAAAAGATTATTTGAGATTATAAGAATTATGCTATTTTAAACGAGTGATGAGTAAATACGTGAAGGTGAGAGGGGAAGCGAAATCAAAGAAAATGAGTTTCGTCAAAGTTTGGCATGTTGGGGTAAAATACTGCTCGAGCTAAAATACTTGTGTTGGCCCAAGAACAGGTGAAGTTTTGAAGAATGACAAATGAACTCAGTCATGGACCAGGTCTATCATGTGAAACACAATGTTTGTCAACCTATACATGTGAGATGTATGTGAAGGAGATAAGTCCCATTGATCAAGAAGCAATATCTCCTGAACTGATAAAAAAGGTTGCATATGGGATAAGGAGAGAAAGTCTCCTTATGAGAAGAGAATACAATTCGGATAAAACATAGGGTTGGAGTTTGTGTTGTTTAAGGACTCAATTTCGATGAAAGATCAGCAATGGAGTCTCAATCAAACTCTAATTACTAACTCATTAAATAACAGTGATTGTTCTCTTTTGCAGTTGTTGCAGATACGCAGAAGTAAAACTAAATTGAGAGCAAAAGAGCAAGGCGGTTTTGCAAGCAATTTATGTGAGATTTAAGTGTGCACTCCTGAAGCTACTTGAACAAAATAGAAGAACCAGTTCTATTATGTTTTTTCTTATTCTAGTTCAATTATAGTAGGTGGATTAAAGTTGTACCTTTCAGCTTTTATAGAAGCAATTGTAATAGGTACTTTGAGTATTCAAGTTATAGGCTAACTTGAAGTTGTCGCAACAATTGAAGCTGTGTGCTACAAAGGGGTTAGAGTTAATCCTTAGGTTTACAAAGAGTTTTTGTAAATGCTGTTTTGGCTCAGTGATTTTAGTAGAAGTTTGGAAAAATCCTATTGAGTAGTAGGTCGTGGTTTTTTTACCTTTTGAGCCAGGTGTTTTCCACGTAAAAATCTATGTGTTCTTTATTTATGTACTTTTAATTCCGCAAATAGTAGTAGTTAGATCACTTAGAAGAACCTGGTTCTTCTAGATCGAAAATTTGGTACCACACAAATCACCCTCCCTCTTGTGTGGTATTGACGTTTAGAACATCAATTGGTATCAGAGCAGGTTATCTTTGAAGAGGCTAACACCTTAGGAAAAGATCAACATGAGTGCACCACCTAGGAACTGGGAAGGGCAATCCACTGCTAGGCCTCCACTCTTTAATGGTCAGTATTATTCTTGGTGGAAGAACAGGATGAGGGATCACATCATAGGGGAAGACTATGAACTCTGGGACATAGTCACTAACGGTCCTCTAGCAACCACAAAGAAGAATGCTGAAGGAGTTGATGTGCCAAAGACAAGAGCTGACTGCACTGCTGAAGACCTGAAGAAGTGGGAGAAACATTCTAAGGCCAAGAAATGGCCTGTATGTGGACTAGGTCCAGATGAGTACAATAGGATCCAAAGCTGTACCACTACTAAGGAAATCTGGGACACTTTGCAAGTGGCTCATGAAGGAACACCTCAAGTGAAGAGGTCCAGAAGAACACTGCTGTATTCTCAATATGAGAATTTCACTTGAAGGAAGGAGAAACTATCCAAGAGATGTATACTAGGTTCACTACACTAATAAAAGAACTTAAGTCTCTTGGAAGGATTATTCTTGAAGAAGTCAAGGTGAGAAAAGTGTTGAAAGAGTGATGTCTGGGGACAACGGTAAATGTGAGGAATGGCACCTCCGCCCTACAAGCACTCGCTCCTCTCCTGTAAGTCGACTATCTTTGTTCGTCGATCTTCTTCTATAGTAAGGGGCACCTCCCTCCCCCTTACCACTCTTTTCCACCCTCTGACCAACAACTCGTAATATTAAAATATCTGAAAAAACAAAAGCTTTGGCTTTGTGGGGAAGAACAATCTTGACAAGAGTTCTCCCAGTCTCGTGGGAAAGCAAATCACTGCTATTCAGGAATCTAAGAATATTGCTACACTCAAGCTGGATGAACTAATTGGAAATCTTACTGCCTATGAACTGAGAAGGCAAACCATGAAGATGGATACACCCAAGAAGGAAAGAAGTCTGGCTCTCAGAATTGCTGAAGGTTCAGATCTGGAGGATGATAAAATGGCAATGATCACAAGAGATTTCAAAA